CCATTATAACCGGCACTGCGGCCCCACGCTGCCCGCTGGGGTTTTTTAAGCAGCTGGCATGGGAGTGCTGGGCGAAAACTCCTTCCATGCAGCTCAGAAGCTGGAAAACCTTTTTCTTTTTACCTTATATGAGCTGGAGAAGGAGGCCAGGCTCCAGCGGGCGCATCTGTCAGGGGCGCCGCGGGGACCCATTGGCTGGGGTGCCGTCACGTGGCCCCGCGCCCTGACCCGCCGCCGCTCAGCTGAGTGTTGGTTTTACCCCCTAAGGAAGGGCCGCTTGACAATTTTCATATTTCTTCTAAATTTGGAGATTTCAGACAATGCTGGGAGGCTTGGCTCAGGATGCCAGAGGCCCATGTGGAAGTCATTAAGTCCGAGAGGGAGAGCAGGAGAGAGGGGGAGAGCGGAGCGCGGGAAGGAGGGGTGCGGGGCGCGGGGGGAGGAGGTGGGAGCAGCCAGCCCTGCGCCTGGGAACGACGGGGACTCCTCGGAGAGAGCTGCCTAGAGATGCTGGATCCCTGCAGCCCCTGCCCATGCTGCTGTGTGGGTCTGGGGGCTGTCAGCGGGGCGGCAGCGGGGCTGCAGCGTGCTGATACTGGCGGCTGTCCCACTGGGGGAAGGAAGCGGAGATGCTCCCTGGCCTGGCTTGTGGTTCCCATCACTTTGAGGAGCTCCATCTGGCCTGGGAAAACGGCGTTCCGGCAGCCACGGGGCCGCCCGCACGCACAGGGCCGGCTGCGGCCATGAGAGCCTGAGCTCTGCAGATAGCACCCCTGCCCACAGCCACTCCGTGGGCTCACCACCAGCCCCAGCCACTTCTCCTCTTGGCAGCAGTGCCCTGTGTGGCCCAGCCCCAATGATGCTCTGGCTCAGCATCCATTCCCAGGCGGTTCCTGGGAAGGGCACACATTGAGAGCCTCCGAGGGCCCAGTCTGCAGGCAGGGTCCTGGGAGAGGACGCCCATCCCAATCACCTGTGGGCTGCAGGCAGCCCCAGAGCTCGGACCAAGGCTGCTGTGCCTTTGTGCTGGGCTTTGCACAGCACGTCAGCATTTGGTGTCTTCCTGTCCCCTGCAAGACAGAGCTTGGGAGGGTCCCTGGGAGGCTAAGCAGGAAGAGCAGGGTCAGTGCGTGCTGGGGGCTGGGGAGCATTCAGCCATGTTGACCCCAGCGATGCTCAGCACCTGCCCTTGTGCAGGACACCATGTGCTGGTACCGGACTCAGCCCACACTGTCAGCAGTGGGTACTGGTACTGGTCTGGCTGGGCCATGCTGAGCACCACACACACCAGGAACACAGCATCTTGCTGCTGTCTCCTGTTCAGCCCCTGCTGTCGGTGGGCTGGCTTTGAGTAAAGCACGGATAAATGCTGCCATTAAACAACGCCTATAATTAGAAACCAGGTTTCCTAAATGAAGTGAAAAATGTAACGTTAGCCTCTGTTTGTTCTCTGGATGCTGCTCTCTTGTTCCATGACCCAGTGGGGTCATGCCCTGTGGTTTCTAAGAAGCCTTAATAAGGTAATGTTTAGGAGGTTACTATCTTTACAACTCTTGTCTTATTACAACTCCATAAGAAAAACATTTAGGGCAAAGCAGGATTCCACGGCGCGGGTTTGTTTTTGTTACTCCTTCAGTAGGATGCTGCCCAGTGAGTCCTCTCTGCAGCAGGTTCTGTTTCTATATCCCCAACAAAGCCACTTTTCCCCACTCCCTGCCCTCAGCTGCGCATGAAGGTCTGCATGCTCCCAGCAGCCCCAGTCCCGCTGCAGGTCCCTACAAGTGCAGCCCCTGGAGCTGAGCTGGCTCCGGCCCTCCCCAGAGACAGAGGAGTGATGGCAGAATTCCCTCTCCAGCCAGCCCTGCTCAGAACCAAGCGCTGAATTTACGACCTCATCTGCTCACTGACACTACAGGGGGTTGCGGGGGCTTTGCCCAGTGCTGCAGTGCCAGTGGCACAGGCAGGGCATGGTCAGTGGGTGAGCCCAGGCTGGAGCAGCTCTGGAGGTGACCTTCAGCAGCAGCTGGAGCTCAGCGCATCCCAGCTGGGAGCGCAGGACAGCAGCAGGGTAGGACCTCCCTGCTGGGTTCCCAGTGGTGACAGCTCCCGGGGCTGCGGGTCCCTGCACGTGCGTGGCCCCGTCCCCAGCTCTGCGGGGAGGAGATGCAGAGCTGGAGCAGACGTCAGTGTCACTGCTCAACTTTCCATTTACTTCAGCCCTGCGTCGCGCCCTGGGAAACCGAGAACTTGGATGCCTGCCTGCAAGCTAAAGCCACCAAAGCCCTAAAAATAAGGGCATCGCTGCCCTGGAAACATGGCCTTGGGTGCTCCCCACATCCTTGCAGGGACAGTGGGGACTGTAGTGCTTTGCCATCTCTCTCCCTCAGAGCTGCTTTGTCCATTCTGTGGTGACCTCTGCTGCCTGACACAGAACGCCCAGAGGGCTTTGCTGGGATGTGAGTTTTTCCCTGCCGTGGCCCTGCTGTGGCCCCGCTGTCCCCCCCAGCCCAGGGCAGCAGAGAGGCAGCAGGGAGCGGAAGGAAGCAGCGTCCTTCTAGGAACCAGAGCACACACAGTCTTTTTCCATCAGGTGTTCTGTCTCCAAGAGCAGAAAGTAAAAGAAAACAAAAGGCAGGAGAGAAGCAGGACAGGAGGAACCTGTGCGTCTGGATCGTGTAACGGGCGACGTGCTGTAAACGCTGATGGATGCTGCTGGGGCTGTGCAGGATGTGCACTCCCTCCCGCCCGCCTGGTGCTGCTGGCAGCTGCCTCTGTGCTGGGATGTGCTGTCGGGAGATGTGGGGTCCCCCAGGGCCGAGCACATGCAGAGCTGCATCCTGACACCAAGCCCTGGCTGTTCTCTGCAGCACACAGGAGGGCTGTGGGCGCTGCCTGCTCAGGGTGCCGTCCCAGTGATGGGTGGCTGCAGAGGGCAACTGACCCCGCACGAAGCAGCGATGTCCTGGCCGTCCCTTCCAGATGTGTCTTTGTGTTTATGCAACCGAAGGAGCAAGCAGAACTCGGATCTTTTTGTTTTTCCCTTTTTTGAGGACGGAGAGTTTTAATTCCCACCAACCAACGTTTTTTTTCCAGCGAGCTTAAAATAAGCCCTTCTGGTCTGGGTGGCTCCAGAGCCGCTCGCACACCAGCACAGAGTTTGTGCAAATATGGATGTGAGCGCCGTGCTGCGGGCGGGTGCTACCTGCAGGGGCATGGGGATGTGGGGGATTAACACCAACACCACCAACCCCAGCTCTCCTCCCATGCAGGGCAGGCTCCAGCCAGGCCGGCTCATTGCGGCACACTCATATCTGTTGAGTGGAAAATGTTGCTCATGGGAGATAGGAGGATGATGCAGATGCGGCCCTGCTGGCTCTGGCGCAGCTGGGCACAAGTACAGGTGCTCTGTGTGGCACTGTACAGTGGCAGGCTCCCACCCAGACTGAGGGTGGCAGCTCTGCTTTGCAGGGAGCAGCCACACGGCTGGAGATGGCTGAGCTCCGGCTCAGTTGAGTGCAGGACAGAGGATCTCATGATGGATGGTTATGAAATACGTGCCCTGGTCTCCTTTGGCTGGCAGATCAGATCCACCCTGTCGGGGCACCAGCTCCCATTCTTCAGGCTCCAACTTCCATCACGGTGCCCATAGCTGTGGGGCAGGCAGGAACAAAGCAGGGAAGCAACATAGACAAGCATGGACAGCAGAACCCAAATCATAGCCCTCTCCCCTATGGTGTCCAAATGGAGCCCTGGAGAGTTTCCAGCCCTTCCTTCCATGACAGGGGCACAAGGCAGACCCTGCACGCCCTGCTCTGGGCTGGGCACATCTCGCAGCCACCCCAGTGCAGTGCCATCACCCTCCCAGCCATGCACCCCAGCTCCATCCCTGGTGCAAGGCTGGTGGAGAAAAGCCGCCTCCCCCAGCTTATCAAATTTGGCCATGTCTGAAAAGCCCTGGTTTCCTTTTCACCAAAAAAGATCAAAACTGGGTAATTGGCTCCCATCGCGGATGCCTCTGAGCCTCTCTCATGTGTAAACAGCATTGCCGAGCGCTGACACAACGCAGGCGGCCGCGCAGCCCGGCACCCTCTGGGCATGGCCGAGGGCTGCGTTCTGCCCTGTGCTGCCCTGGGGAGCACACAACCAGTGTTGGGTCCCGGGCACTGCAATAATGTGGGTGTAGGTGGCTGCAGAGCCACCGGGCCCCCAGCAGGTGACAGAGGTGACATTTGCTCATTGACTGGGAAATGCCACAGCCCTGAAGCATTGTGCTGGTGAACGCCCCTGGGGATGTCAGCATGTTTCCTGCGACAGCTCTGGGCTGTGGTAGCCAAAAGGAGGGGAGACACAGTAGGAGGAGGTGATGACTTTCACCCCGTTTTCTGGGTTGAGGCCCAATTCCTGGACTGGGAAAAGAAAGTGGAAATTTCCAATTGCCCTACGAAACACAAGGGCCTTCCAGCCTGTTGATGGGGGGATGTGGAGTAAGCAGGGGGCATTCCTCCAGCGGCCATCCCAGACGTGGGGCAGCAGACTTCAAAACTTAAAAGGTGACCCCGAGGAGCAGGGAACAGCGCCATGCACCTCTGCAGTGAGTGAAGCTGGTGGGATTTGGAAGGGGACAGAGGGAGGGATGGAGGAGGGATGGAGGAAGGGCATTGCGCTGCGGTTGGGTGGAGGACAGCACCACCGTGCGGTACAGCATCCTCCTGGCTTCAAGGACGGGGACTGCATCCCTCCCCCTGCTCCCTGTCCCTCCTTTACAGGCATCCCTCCCCAGCCCCGGGGTCAACACCTCCCATGTCTCAATTTCCCTCACTGCAGCACCCCCAGGCTCGTCCTATGGATGCAGCACAGCACTGGGGCAGCATCCCCAGCACACCCCCAGGACACCCCCCGCCTGCAGCTCAGGGCACAGCCCCAGGCACAGCCGACGGGCTGCAGGCAGCAGCAGGGAAGGGTCTGGTGACAGCCGGGGTGCAGGATGCAGTGGTGGCATTGCCTCGCTGATGGTGTGAGTCATGGGGGTTTCTGGGCACAGCGGAGCTGCTGGTGGCACACACATTACTGGGGACCCTCAGTTGTCTCCACAGAAGCTCCAGGCTACCTGCACACCGTGCCACCAGCACAGCACACAGCCCACCGTCCTCCTGCCAGCACCCGCTCCAGCAGTGTCCCCCAGCCATGGGGGCTGTCACCAAGGCTGTCACCGTGCTGTCACCACCAGCAGAATCCCAGACCTTTCTCTGAGACAGGTTCTGCCCCTGAACCTCTCTGTGTTGCCTGTCCCAGGAGGGACTGCCAGGGTTGCAGCAGCCAGCACCCGGGAGGGGGCGGTGGCCGAGTCCCAGACCACGCTGGCCTTGGCCCTGAGCTGCCGACACCTCGGGGACGCGCCGGACACACCTCCGGGGAAGCGCCGCGGGGCTGGGGCTTTCCCTATTTAGCTGCGGGGCTCGGCTGTGCCAGCCGCACTGCGGGCAGCCGTCCGGCCCTCCGCCGCGATGCAGCGGGCTCCCAACCTGGTAGGTACCGTGCCGCGGCGCGGGGCTGCCTGTTCGCTTCCCTTCTTTAATGCCATTATGTACACGCGTGTTTGCGGGTGGCTACCTGGCTCTGTTTGCTTTGGAGATGCTCATCCCGGCCCTGCTGGGCCCGTCGCCCCCGTGCACGGCACGGAGGGGACAAAGCAGGGAGCAAACCTGCGGTGGCCTGAGGGAAGCGCGGCGCAGCCCAGGAGGAGAGCGCGGCACTCTGCCTGGACCCTGCACGCACGCAGGATGGTGTCACAGCGGGACCACGGGCAGGGCGTGGGGCTGCCTCGGCCGGCTGCAGCCACACGGAGAGCAGCGCTACAGAAAGCAACTTTGTTCGGCACTGGGCAGCATGCCGGCTGCCGGCACACGAAGCTCAGCCCTGCGAGGCCGGAGGGAGAAGGAGAGGAAAAGGCACCTTTCTTTCTCTGTCCTCAGAGCACAGAGGGAGAGGAGGATTTGGATAAAGATCTCATTCTTGCATGTCTCATCTCTGTGGCTCCTTGTAAACGAAAGGAGCCCCAGGTACACCCTGAGCTGGATGTGTGCGCTTGCTTGGGGCACGGGGACACCTGGGGATGCTCAGAGCAGGCACAGGGCCCTTTGGGCTCGGCTCCCTGCACAAGGGGCTCTGCAGCCATGGGTATCTCCTGGGGCTCACCACGACCATGTGCTCACCACGCAGCATGCACGGCGCCACCCAATGCCAGGAAATTGGGCCGAGTGTCCACCCCTAGGCAGGGATGCATCCTTTTGCACACGCTCTGCAGCGCAGGGCAGCCACGCACTGCACTCCTTTCTCTTCAGCTTCTCCTCTGCATCTTCACCTTTGCCATGGTTCTGGTGCCAGAAGCCAAGGATGAAAGCAGAGCAGCCAAGGGGAGGAGAAGGGGCCCTTCACGGCTCCCCATGGCCGCTCCCGCCCTGGCCAGGGCCCCCGACGACCTCTACACTCCAATGGAGGACTACGAGCGCAGCATCCAGGACATGGTGCACCAGTTGAGGAATGGCTCCGAGCCAGGCGACACGAAGTGCCAGGTCAATCTGCGGCTCTGGAGGTCCAACCGCAGGAGCCTGTCCCCCTGGGCCTACAGGTAAGTGTGGGGCAGGGTCCTCAGGGCTGGGGAGCTCTGGCAGGGCCATGTGCACTCATCCCATGTTGGCAGGTGCAGTGGCGACCACAGCTCCAGCATCTCAAAGCGACCATGATGCAGTGCTCCCCATGTCACCCCACAGTGGTATTGCCCTGCCCTTCCCCACAGTGTCCCCATCCCACCTGCCAGTCTCACCGTCCCTCTGACCTCCCACTGCTTTCCTTATCCTCCAGCATCAACCACGATGCCACTCGGATCCCGGCAGACATCCCTGAGGCCCGGTGCCTCTGCACCGGCTGCATCAACCCCTTCACCATGCAGGAGGACCGCACCATGGCCAGCATCCCCATCTACAGCCGGCTGCCCGTCCGCAGGCTGCTCTGCCAGGCGCCAGGCGAGGTGGGGCACAAGGCCTCCGGGAGGAAGAAGTGTCAGAAGAAGTACCAGATGGTCATGGAGACCATCGCTGTGGGCTGCACTTGCATCTTCTGAGGCTGCATAATGAACGCCCAAAGTCATCTACGGGCCTCTAAGCAGCTTGCTCTTGCTTATCAAGCATCGCCAGGCCCAGCATTGGGGCAAGGAGTGCCTCCAAGAGCTCCCCGAAATCCCCCTGCAGATTCCACCAGCCTCAACCCAGGCTGGGAACACCCAGTGCTGGGGCAGCCCTGCAAGCAGCCCAGCACATCATCCTGCCTCTGGTCTCGCCAAGAGCTTTTGAACCCCCAGTGAAAGGCCAAGGAGAATGGAAGGGGAAGGTCCTCACCCCCAGCCCCATGTGCAAACTGCAGCCCAGGGCCTGGCATAGAGGCAGGGGGTGGGGAGCAGCTGTTCTCCAGAGGAAGCTGAGGCAGCTTTTGAGGTCCTAAATAATAAAGTGCATTGCTGGCCTCTGTCTGACCCGCTCCATGCCTCAGCCCGTGGTGCTGCCTGGGCTGGAGGGGCTGTGCCCAGCAGGGAGGAGCAGCAGGAGCAGGGCCCCGCTACCCCCCATGCCCATGACTTTGAAGCCCCATGAGGTCCCTTCCAAAGCAAGATGACCCTTTCTCACAGCACATTCCAGTGTCAGCCAAGGAGGGGAAGGGAGAAATCTCCAGCGCATGGCACAGACAAGCAACAGGGGCTGTATTCCTGAAGGAAAAACACGTTCAAGTCATCTGGACACAGCCTGTCCCTCGCCCCCTGCCCCAAGCCCCGTGGTGATCCCAAGGCAATAAATACACCCCTGCCCACTGCAGACAGCAGCTCCGGGCCCACCACCACCCAATGCGTCACAGCTCAGTCTTCACTTTGTGCATCAAGTCCTTCTGGTCTATCTTCTCCAGGTCCTGGTACCAGCGGTTGTAAGCCAGGAGGGCCACGTTTTTGGCCGCCACTGCAATCATCTCCATGGAGCTGGCCACCCACTCCACGCCGCTGAGGTAGAAGAGGTTTTCATGGAGCACGATGGGCGGCAGCGACTTGGCCGAGTCGTAGCGGGGGTGTGACTGCCACTCCGTCACCTGCACCGAGTAGTAGGACCTGAAGAGGGTCTTCAGCTGCTGCTTGTCCAGCGGCTGCTCGGAGAGGACCCGCCACACCGCCGCCTCCTGGGGCTGCTTGCGACGGAACGCCGCTGAGACGTTGACAGGACAGATGTTGTCCATGGCGTTGAAGAAGAGGGCAGGAGTGTCGGTGGTGAGGATGCTGGCAAAGGGGAAGAGCTTGGGGTCAGGGAAGCCAAAGTAGGAGGAGTTGAGGTAGCCGTGCACCACGGAGGTGACGGAGGGCTGGAAGGTGCCAGGGAAGTTGTCAATGGGTGGCTCAAAGTTCTGGAAGCTGAAGTTGCTCCTGCTGGGGTGTAGGGCAGTGGTCACCACCACCATGTCGTAGAATGCCGAGCCCTGGCCTTCGCTGCTCGTGTAGTGCACCTGGTACAGGGCTCTCCCCTCTGTAGAGAGATGGCAGATAGTGGCTGTAGCACTGACCTCAAGCTGTATGGTCTCCACTTTTTTTTAGCACTGCCTCCACCTCCTGGTTTTCCAGTGCTGGACCATAGAATCTGGTGGCTCTAGATGAGTTGCTAATGCTTTAGGGCAACTGAAAGAGCATTTTATGGAGCCTCCGAGAAAAAGCTTCAGAAGCTCATGCTGGTGAGATAAGGAGGAGAGGGTCAAAGCTGCCCTTCACAAAGCACAGCTGTCCGACCTTCTGCTGTGCTGGAGCATGGCTAGTGCCAGTGGGACCTGGCTGAAAGAAGGGACCTGAGGGACCCTAAGGCTGAGGTCTGCAGGGCAGGGTGAAGCCTCTCAGACAGACAGAGAGCCTCCCAGAGCCCCCAGCATCCCCACAGCCTCCACCACCCACCTCACAAAATCACAAAACCATTATGGTTGGAAAAGATAGCTAAGACCATCAGGTCCACCCATCAACGCATCCCCACTCAGCCCTCTCCAGGTACAGACCCACAATCCCAAGGCCAGCAGCACCCATGGGTGCACAGGACCGGAGCAGACCCCGCGATCGGGCTCACCCGAGCTGTGCAGAGAGACACCCGTCACCCTGCCGTGGATGACGTTGGCTTTGGTCAGCTTCAGCAGGCCCGAGCACACCAACTTGTTGCCTCCTTCCACCGCCCACGTGCTGCCCTGGGCCCCCGCCAGCGACATGGCGCCTGGGGAGAGGAAGGGGAGGGCGCTCGGAGCCCTGCTCGGGGAGGGACCCCGGGGAGGACGCTCACACGAGGGCAACGGATCCTCACCCGCGAAGGCGGGCACCAGCACCGACTGGCCGTAGCTGGAGCGCAGCACGGCTGCAATCACGTCATCCACGAAGCGCTGCGTGACGCCCACCTCCAGCAGAGCCTCAGCCACCGAGCGCTGCGTCATGTTGACGAAGGCCTCACCCCCCAGAGAGCGCAGCAGCTCCTCCAGGCTGGAGAAGGCGTAGCCGTGCGCCTGGTACTTGTAGATCCTGGGGGGGATGGCGGCACGGGGTGAGGTCCCGGCGTCGGGGAGAACCCCCCTCCCCACCCCACCACGGCCCTACCTCATGAACTTCTCCATCACCTCCTCCACCCACATCTGCAGGCGCAGGAAGCTGATCCCGTAGTGCCACCAGAGCCGGAAGAGGTTCAGCAGGTACCAGTCGGTCTCCTCCAGCACAAAGTGCTCCCCGCTGAACACGGCGCTCTTCCCCGGCACCTCGCGGCGCTGCCTGAGCCCTGCGGGGAGCAGAGGGGCCCACCGGGCGGGTGGTGGGGTGCGGGTAACGGGGTGAGCGAGCTCTGCGTGGGCACCGGGCGGCGTGAGAGCCCACGTGCTCGGGCATCCCACCGGGCGGCCCCGCCTCCGGACGGGACAAAGCGGTGGGATGCCGAGGTCCGCCCGGAGCCCCACGGTGCGGTCACGGCGGGGCTGGGGCGCCGGGACACCTCGTTCCCATCGTGCCGAGGTACCGCCGCGTCCCCCCGATCACACGGCACTCACCCAGCGTCTTGACGAAGTCCTGCATGTGCAGGCTGAGCGCGTGGATGGACGCGGCCCGGCTCTCGTACTGCTGCTTGTTGACGGTGACGGTGGCCAGCCGGCCGCCCACGCCGCCCTGCTCGTACACGTCCAGCTGCACCTGCGGCCCGAAGTGCTGCTGCAAGAAGTAGGCGACGGCCGAGCCGCCCAGCCCGGCGCCCACCACGGCTGCGGGCAGAGAGGGGCTGGGGTTGGCGGCGCACCCGAGGCACGGTGCCGCAGCCCCGCCGGGCTCCGGGCTCCCCGCCCGGCTCCCCCCGACCCGACCCGACCCGACCCTACCGACGCTGCGCGGCGGGGCGCGGGCGGCCACGGGGACGGCAAGGAGGGCGGCCAGGGCCGGCAGCAGCAGCGCGGCACGCGGCGGGGCCATGGCGCGGGCGGCGGGGGAAGCGGCGGGGCTCGGCGGCACCGCCCCTCGCGGCAGGCACGGCCCCGAGCCCCCCGGCTGCGGGCACGGCACGGCACGGCACCGCACGGCACCGCACGGCACAGCCCCGCCGCCTGCTGCCCTGCGCTGCGTCAGTGCACGGGGCGGTGCGCCGCGTTCCGTTCCGGGGGAGGAGGCGGGAGGACCGCGCGGCGTCGGAGCCCCGGGCAGAGCACGCTGCTGCTTGTAGCCCTGCCGGCACGGCCTGGAAGGGCTGCTGTGTCTGCGTGCTGACCGCGAGCGGAACGCCTGCGTTTGCTCACGCTGCAGACGGAGGTGGTTGCGGTTTGCAAACTCCCGACTCTCGCTGTTGCCGTGGAGAAAACCAGAAAAGCCAGCAGTGAGCGGCACGGCAGCAGCTAGCAGCATTTCTTGGTTAGGGAATGCACGGAGCGATGCCATCGCAGCTGCTTCCAGGCCAGGAGGAAAAGCCTGATCGCGAGGGGATGATGCTGCAAGGGCTCGGCACAAAAATGCAGCTCTTCCCTCAGGAAGGCCGGCTCTTTGCAAAGTTGTTGCTTTTTTTCAGGAAAGGAGAACGATGCCTGCTGCAATCACAGCCGTATCAGACAGGCTGGCGCTCTCCCCAGCACATCCTTGAAAGAATAAAGCGCTCAGGGATGGCACGAGACCTGAAAAAGTCCTCTGAGCACAGCATGCTTGCTGCTGCACATCTCACATACACACACAGGGAAATACACAGCAAAACGAAGCAGTGGGGGAACAGAATGACAGAGATGGCACAAGACAACATGTTTCAACTGCTAAGAGTCGTGCAGGATGAAGCACCAGAGGCAGGCAGAGCGTGATTCCTGCACAGCTGAGCAATGCAGGAGTTCCCAGGAGCAGAGATGACAGCAGGCACAGAAAACCCTGGCAGCTCACCGTGTGAGGGAGGATGACCTCCATGTTCACTTCTGAGTCCACCTAACAACTAGTTCATAAGATGTCAAAAAGATAAATAAATAAGGAGGTGGAGTGTAGTCCTTGCTTCAGGTAACCAGCTGTAGAACAGCCCTTTCAATCCACAGCACCACTTGGAATGAGTGGGAAAAGAAAGGAAAAGCAGCAATTGCAATTCTTTTTTTTTATTAGCAAACAGACAGTATCTGGACATGTAAAGAAAATCAGCCCTTTCCAACATTAACTCAATGTTGTTGTCAGTTACTTGCACCAGTCCCGCACTCGGGTCTTCCTCTCCCATACAGCCAGAACCATTGGGTAAGCACAGCACAGAAACACAACATACAGTATATATATAGGTTTCTCACCAACTAAAATGGACTTAGAATTTTTGAAGATTAGCAACACTTTGTTCATTTGACTTTGCAATACCAAAACATCTCATGTTTTAAAATAAAACAAACACTACAATATTCACAATATAAAACTTAAATACAGTTTTCAAAAGTGAGAGGACTTCTCGCAGCCATTGATTTATCACAGCTGTTCTATTCCAGCAGCAGCTCTGCTGGGGAAGAGCTGAGAATTTAAGGTCCACAAATGACATTCACATTCTGCACAGCTCCTGCACAGAGCCAAGACGTTGGTGGGAAGCACTGCTGCAGCCCCGGCCAGGAGCACAGCGACGCTCAGTGCAGGGCTGCCCAGCCTCCCACAGCACAGCTGCAGCTTCACACGTCACCAGCACACCATGGGTTACCTGCTCTGCACTCCCAGCTCAGCTGATGGCTGGGTGAGCAAGTGGAAAGGAGCAGGAGGTACAGAGGCACGCAGCACTCGCCCTCCTCTGCTATTCCATCCCTTCTAACAAAGTCAAAAATGGTTTGAATAAAGTGACAGCAGGGAAGAAGCTCAGGTCAGACTCTTTGGTGTCACTTTGCAGAGCACCCAAGGGGGACTCATCCCACCGTGCTGCGTGTGAGCTCTGCACAAACAGGGAAGCTACACAGAGGAGAAATGCACTCCACCCTTAGGCAATCTCATCCACAATAAGAGATCATTAAGTGTGCTTGAAAGGCAAGGGAATCCAATTCTGCCTAGGAAATGTAAATTCTGCGATGGAATCCA